CGCTGCTCCCTGTGCTGCGCTGTGCTGCGCGGGGACGCTGCTCCCGCTGCTTTTCCAGCCTCCTGGAGGAGGCCGCGGCTCGAGCTGGGCCGGCACCCGCTTGTTAACGTTTAGGAAACGCGCACCCTGAGAGCGGTGCAGCCGGGGCCGCGAGGGCAGCGTTGGGCAATCCGTGCTCTGCGTGTGCGGGTATTGCCCAACGGCGCTTGGCTGCAGGATGCCGGGATGCGCGGCCCCCTCCTGCACCGCAGCTTGGCCGCCCACGGGCGCCTCGCGGGAGCCCTTCCAGCGTCCGGGAAGGCTCGTCCGTAGCCTTTGGAGTTGTGGTTTGAGGGAACAGCATTGTGAATGCTGTTTTCTCCTATATTCTTCYGGAGACAGTTCATCCAAGCATGGTTCTAAATTTACTTTTTTTTGGAATACACTGCAATGGTCCATATTCTTTTGTCAGTGAAGTCACCAAAAATCTGGAATAACAGCAGCACCATGACTCCAGCATTTACATCCAGCGCTGTAAAATGTGTGTCATCTGCTATTATTTGTTAAAAGGAAAGGAAAAAAAAAAAGCTCTATTCATACAATGTGGTTACTATTGCTAATAGCAAAAGGAACCATCTGGGAAATTGCTTATAAAAATTGGAGGCATTTCTCAGACTCCTTCAAGTATAAGCAGAATATATTTAAGGCTTATTACTGATTAACACAGTGTGTGTCCTCTCACATTTGTATGCTTCTATTCAAACTGATTTAGCAACCATGAAATGGAAATGKGAAAGCAAAACCAAGCACATAGAAGCTGTCTAGAGGTGGCTGTTGTGTATGTGATACAGAACAGCATCTGGAAACATGGTAGAAATTCATTAGAAATTCCTTGTTTGCTCCTTGCAGACACTTTCTGGCAATCGCTTTGTGCCTTCCACTTGCCCTTTCCAAGTGTATTGACTTGGAAATCTTGTATCTCTTATAAACACAAGCATATACAATCCATATGGTTAAGTATCCTTAAGGAACGCAGTGGAAAGTATCCGTTTCTGTTGCCACTGCCAGTGAAAGGAAGGAATAAGATTTCTGTGCCCTTCAGAAGGCTTCCTTCCACTTAATCTTGTTATAGAAAAAAATCAATTGAGCCCAATTCCTCTGTACTCTCCTATGTCAGGTTTCCACTGACGTCAAAGGGTGCCCGGCACCAGGAAGAGGYGCGGGATGAAACGTGAGCTGCTGCCGGGCCCGGCAGCCTCGCCGGGACCTGCGGGGGAAACGGAGGGGCCAGGGCACYGGACTGTGACCGTAACCACCTGATTCTCCCCTTTATCCCGTTACTTCTGTCCCTGTGCCTGCGGCTCCCACATCAGCACCCACCAGCACRCAGCCTCAAACAGAAGGTCCATCGTTCCTCAACATCCCTTTTCTTGGATCCTACAGCACAGCTGGCTCTTGCAGGATCGAGCCGTGTCAGGAAGCCGCTATTGAGAGACCAGGATTGCCCTGGGCCAGTGGGTCCCAACCTGTTTTTCTCCCGTCTCCTGCCTGCAGCAAGCCCAGATGCCTCTCGTGAGCGGACAGGCCTTAGCGGCATACTGTAACGCCCCGAAGAAAGCCGTGCTTGGAAGAGCACAGGGCACGTCACACGCGCAGCCCCTGGCCGCGCTGCCGCGTCTCGCACGGTGCTGCACAGGCGGCCCCGCGCGCTGCCGCGCTGCTGCAGCCGGCGCGGGACGCGCCGGGAAGGGCTGCTCRCACGCTCCGTGTAGGAGCAGATCCTAACGCAAATGTTCCCAGAGCCTCTGCCACAGACGCGTTATAAATACACCGCCAGCAATACAAATACAGGCGGCAGATTAGGTAATGTAGCCTTTCGATTACTCATGACTCTGACATTAACATACTGGGTAGAAAAGTCATCAGTCAAAGCTTGCCTCCCATTTCTGTCCTGACTGGTATTATTATCAACTATAATTATTATTAAGCAATTCCCACATATTCCTGGGAAAGTTTTTAGAAACTTTAAAAGAAAATCAGCTTTCCTTTGTTTCTTTTGTTTGAATAAATCTGTGTCCCTAGATTTGATAGTATCATTCATCCATATTTAAGAAAAAAAAGTATTTGAAAAAGAATAGTCAGTAATTTCAGTAAGTGTAAACTAAACTCTGGTACCTCTGTGCAGTTGTTGATACTCATTCCTGGGCAAAGGACAGTGTAAAGCCCATACATCACCCCTGAGAATCCTGCATGAATCCTGCTCRTGTATCACAACACGCTCTTCACTGTGCACAGAAAGAAATGCGTCCTGTTTGCCTATGGCTTATGATGCTTCCTCAAATATATTATCCTTATTTTTATTCTTAGAAATTTTATAGGACRAATGGCACATATCTTTTTCTCTCAAAACTTTTTTTCTCCTTTGTAGTCAACTGCCAAATTCTTTTAATATTCTGACTGCAGAAGTGCACAAAAGATACTTACCAACTAAGATGGGTCACACGAGGAGTCGGTACGATGATTATCTTGTAAACCAACCTTTTATTTTTTATTTCCGTCAGATTTCCATCTCTGTCTGAATATCTATTTGTAGTTATTTTTTGACTTGTTTTTTTCTATCCCTGTTCAGAAGAACACTGGAACATTCTGATTCATTTTAGCTATTCTGTGAAGATAAATGACATTATGAAAGTTAGTATGGRTCCTTCAGTGAGGTCGAGCTAGAGCCTTTCACTGTATTAACCAATGATCATTTGCTACTCACCTCTACAATACAAGTAACAGCAGTGCAAACTTCATGACCTAGCGGTGCAGTAGAAAAGAGTGCTGAGTTCTGGCTATTGCTGATACTGCAGCAAGCATTTTTGGTACCCTTTGAAATACACAGTATTTAAGTAATCTGGTATACAAAAATGAATAGGCTTGACTGCACAAATAAGATTAGTTTCTCGGTTAAAGCTATCTGCCATAATTCRAAAGAATTGCATTCACGTGCTAAAGCCCTACACAATGGGAATCTGAAGTCAGTAAAGGCATTTTTTTCTTGTTTATAGTTAAGTCCATAYTTGTGTTCAGGCCTTTTGACTCATGTCTTGGCTCACCAGCCCTGCTTCATGATGGTCTGAAAGCCCCACAACCTGCCCTTTTTTCTCTGGTCTTTACAGCTCCAGATGCTGTTTCCCTGCTTATATGCCAGCCTGTGTTCTCGTCCTGACTTCTCACCTGTGAGCCATTTTGCAAACTCTCATCAGACTTACAAACTACTTTCTTGTGATTTCTGCCGTGGATATTGCAGAATGTGGGGAACTCAGATCACATCTCACTGGAAGACTATCCTGCCTCTGGTCACCAGCGTGGCTCACTACAGCACTGCACAAGCACAGGATGTAAAAGTGGCTTTTAAACTAATCAAAGTCATTAACTTCTAGCTGGTCATTTGGCAAAGCATTTCCCATTCTTCTGGGGACAAAATCTTAGCAAAAGACCAGCACTTTTTGGAGATATAGGAGGTAATCCATGTTAGGCCATGGTCAGAAGATAAGAGATTTCTGCTTTAAAGAAGTTCCACAAGGTTTGTTGTTTGCCTCAGTGATGTCGCATGGCCTCACACACAGCCCCTGCCCTGAGGAAGCTGTGCAGAGGGCAACAATCATCAGCTTTCTGGCAGAAGGCGTCCTGAGCATCTCAGCCTCGTGTCACTGCACCCAASCTGCAGAGCTGATAGGAGACCTGACGCGGTGGCCAGCCGGGATTTCTGCAGAGAGAACCACTGCATGTGAATGCTTAAGGCAGACACAGGCAGGGTTTTGTCAGCGACAGACCCCGTGTGGGAATCTCAGACCCGCAAAACTTCACTCCAGCTCCAAAATAGTAATTTACAAAGTAAGGATGCCTCAGCAGTAATATGCTTTGGATCATATGCTTGATAGCTTCATCTTAGGCCTCTTTTCTCTCATCTTTTTGTGTTCCTAAACTGTGRTGTAATAGATAATGTCTGTCCTACATGTGTACAATGTTAGATGCCTCCCAGTCCAAAAAACACAGTGTGGCAATTGAGTGAGATTGTTCCACAAGACTGCAAGCTGTCTGATGTTTGTTTGGATATTAGAGGGATTTTATATAGAGGTTTTTACCTATTGTATGGAAATAATGAGTTGTGCTGAGATAACAAGAGGCTTTTTGCATGCACTTACTTCAAACTGTTATATCCAGAATTAATGCAACATTTC